TTTTTTTTCAAATAAATGACCTCCGCCTATTTTAAAGGTCAAATATGTCAAAATCTGTTAACAACTTCTTCTTAATAACCAGAAGGTTCGGGATAGTGATATTTGATTAGTAGCATTCTGGTAAAAACGGGCTACCAAGTTCATTCAAATGAATTATTAGAACCTGAATTATAGGTCACAGGGGTCAAATATGTTTAAAATCATAAAACGACTTCTTCTGAATATCCATGAGACCAAGCATGAGGAATTTTGACCATGAGTATGCTTGGATGAAGGGCTACACAGTTAGTTCATTCAAAAGAACTTGACCTGAATTCAACATCACAGGGGTCAAATATCTTTAAAATCTTAAAACGACTTCTTCTAAATATCCACGTAGTATACTACGATAATCGGCTACTTATTTTGATAAAATGAATGACATTGATCTGTCGTCAAGGTTACGGGGGTCAAATAGGTGTTAAGTCTTCAAACGACTTCGTCTGAAAAACCAAAAGGTCCAGAATGATGATATTTAGCCCGTAACATGCTCGGATGAAGTGCAAACAATTTTGTTCAAATTAACGACATTGACCTTTAATCAAAGTCACAGAAATCAAACATGCTCAAAATCTCTTAACGACTTCTTCTGAATAACCAAAAGGCCAAGGATGATACTATTTGGCCAGTGTCATGCTAGGATAATGGGCAACCGGGTTTGTTAAAACGAATAACCTTGACTGATATTCATGGTCACAGGTGTCAAATTTGTTTCAAAATCATTAAACGGCTTCTTCTAAATAAGCATGAAGCATAGAGTGATAATATTTGGCTTGCATCAAGCTTGAACGAAGGGCTATCAAGTCATTTGAATGGCATTGTACCTAATGAGATAAGGTCAAATTTGGTCAAATTTGTATAAACCATTAAATGACCTTATCTCAATAAACAAAAGGTTATAGTGGTGATATTTGGCCAGTTGCATACTGAGATAAAGGGTTATAAATTTGGTCCGTTCGATGACCCTGTTCGACTTTCAATGTCACAGGGGTCAACTATTCTAAACATATTTTAACATGTTCTTTTTAATAACTTACAGCCTTAAATCTTTTCTTTTTTTCTCTTGATGCTTTATTTGGGATCACTTTTTGCGTTTCAGATGTGAAATTAATACCGGGTGAGCGATGCATGCCCATTGGGCCTTTTGTTATCTCTTATCTTTATTCATTTATTTTGTTATTGTGCGTTTTTTTATTCTTGTGGGTATTGTCTGTGACTTCTTTAGGGCGATTTAGCAGTTTCAATTAGGAGTCCAACATAAGAACAAAAAAAAACATCACTCTTATCAGAAAGTCCTGGTTCCTTTTTCTAACGATTTTGTTGGTTTATTCGATAGTTTTTTTTTAACTTTATCGAAATTGGTTCTCCGTTAATTTCTGCTCATCATTCCTGTTATTTAATACTTGATGTTACCATCAACACATTTATACATGGATGGCCTTGCAATGCTGATAATAGTGACAATGATTAGTACTTAAGATCAGTCAGATACATATATATAGACATACAATACTAATTCATTCTTTTACAGTTAACACCAGTCGTGAGCCAAATGTCAAATTCACCACTCAAAGTTCAAACCACAGTGCTGCATACCTTAGTGGTAAAGCAGTAGATGGTTGTAAAATACAAATCTTCGACAGCCACAATTGTTGTTCACATACACAATCAGATAAAAGGGAGGCATGGTGGCAAGTGGATCTAGAGGGACTGATCGTTATGGAATACGTTAAAATATACTACAGAGGTGAGTAATCAAATATTTTGATTTTTTTATTCAACAATAAAAGGTTTTACGTGTTATTCGTGGCCTTTAGACGGTACTGTGTTGTCTAACTGCATGTCGTGAAAGTCGACTAATGGTTATTGCGAAGTCGTTAATCACGGAGTTGAGATTATTGATATTCCAAAACGGTATTTACATAATTAAGTATATAAAGACATTATTTTTTTGCTATAAATGGTTAAACCGCCCGTTAGGCCTACCCCGAAAATAGTAAAAACAACATGGATAACTTGACGTCATTCGACATAACAACACAGAAAGCAAAATGCAGTGTACATTCAATGACGTATATAGTATATATTAAGCAAGTCAGGTTGTCTATGTTGTTTGTAATGCTTTCCTTCAAGTCGACATTTTGACTAATGAACCGCCTCTACACCAGAGGTTTTCATACGACTGTTTTATAAAGACCCTGATTGAATTCTTGTTTATCAATGAAGGACTGTTGTGTATAATACTGGTATTGTAAACTTCAAGTGCTCTGACTCGGTTTTCTGTGTATACGTAAACACACGACAGCGGTCGATAAATGTGTATGTACTTCTGTCCGTGTACCTATGGATAGGAGGTGTGACAAAGCCAAGCCTTGTTAGGTACACTTGTATTAAGGAAAATTACTGATACAAAAGAACAACCAACATATAACCAATAATTCCTCCCTTTAAACATGCTTTAATGTGATATATTAATTCAATGAAACGTAACAAAAACATTACCGATACAAAGATAAATTGATGTTTTACCAAGATAAATATACATAGTTTATGATAGGGCAAAAAGGGAAGTGTTGCGAAGTAGGGCGTCAAAAATAAGTTGGAATGGAAATAAAAATATAACAATACCGAACGTAAACATGTATGCTGCAGAAGTTTTATCCCAAAAAAAAAAAAATAAAAAAAAAAATCCCTAATTCCTCTTGATGTTACTGCATTGGTCGCCTGTTACAGCATATGCAGTGGTTGTTTTCCTGGCAAAAAACGTGAAAAATAAGTCTGCATAAAAAACAGTTAATGCGCATAAGCTCTAGTGGATAATCTTGTATATCAAATTTAGATCAAGTGTATACGCAACGACAACGATTTGGTGGCTATCAATTATACCAATCGAACACGTCGGATTGGCGGAACGGTCACCTTTGTCATAAAGACACAACATCAACATCGGCGGCGTTGTCATTGACTCCTCAGATACAATGTACAGGTAGCGCCCAGTACCTGACAATATACAGCGACAGACGGTCAGGAGGTTTAGTGTGGTACTCTGATGATGCTATTCTGGAGCTTTGTGAGGTAGAAGTGTACGGTACGTAACTGACATACTTAACCTTAAAATATTGTATTCACACTAGTAGAGAATATTGAGGGATAATGGAACTTTCAGAAGTTGTATTTTAGACATCAATGAATATTCATGAATCCCTATCTAAGATAAATGGTTAACCGTAACAACATCTTAGCAATATACTCAAAGTATCTGTTCAATTTTTATTTTATTTTTTCTGTTACATGATAGGTGTCTTCCATTTCAATAATTATCTTTGCCATTTGTTAAGTTTTGTATGTCTACAAGTCAGTGTATTATGTTGCAATTAAAAAGTGAGTATACATTTTTGTGCATCATTATAACGTTGTGGAAGAGGTAACATATAAAGAAATTTGTACATCCAAGTTATTTGGCCAATGATAAAACAATAAAAAATGGTTAAAATAGTTTATTATTTATTAAAATGATAACAGATGGGCTTATGTCCGAACTCGTATGCTAATATATTTCAGGATGTCCGCTTGGGAAATATGGTGATGGTAATTGTGATTCAGATTGTGATGTAGGCTGTGCCAATAGCCTGTGTGATCCAGTGACCGGAGGATGTGCATGTAATTACATATATTTAAAAATATCAATACTGGAAAAAAGTACAACAACTGTGGAACGAGAGAAAACAAATCAGTTTATCAATCATTTTTCTATTCATGAGAACCGTTGTGAAAAAACTCGTTTTAAGTATAAGAAAAGAGTGTAGGTCGTCATCATAACCTGATTAAAGATACTGTGTGTTGCCTTTGCTTTTGCATCGTATAGGCTTTCGGTGCAGTGATAACATATGGATATGTCTTATCATGTTAACATAATATAACATCATTTTCATTATAACATTATAACATTTTTGTATTCAAGTAAATCAACATGTGTTAAGCAGTCTTCAATATACATTTCTACTTATTATATAAAATATCGCAACATAATTCTAAAATTATTTTAGATAATGCGTGTACTAAATGTATACATTATGTACTTGTTTCATATTATTTTTAGACTGTGCAGTTGGATACTATAGGTCTGGATCTGTATGTGTAGAATGCCCCTCTAATTGTTATGATAACATATGTAATGCAGAATCTGGTGTTTGTTCTGGTAAGTGATTCCATGCATTTTTATATGGATAATTTTGTTTATATTTTGTGTTAATCTCTTGTTATAAAATATCATGCATTCGCTGTGGGGACACAAATTCATTCAAATTTTATAACTATACCACTTCTGAGGTGTTATTTGATGATATATATTTATCTAGTACATGAAATTGTGTTATGATTTTATCTTTTTATAATACATTGATAAGATTCGGTTCACACTAAACATTTTATCTTGCTCAGTTGTGTTTTGAAATAAACATGTATTAAGCACCATTGAGTACAATCACATCATCAGTGACAATTAATGACCTAAAACTTAGATAAGGAAAATGTAGCTTCTTACCATTTTTCGGTTTCTGACTTGTTCTTTGTGATTTTCCATGAAAGCGTGTACTCTCGGGTATTATGGCAGCCATTGTAATCAGACTTGCCTGTTCAACTGTAAAGACAAGCGATGTATGCAAAGCAATGGAGAGTGTGAAGGTATGCATCACTGAAAAGTATGAAAAACGTGTAGAGAAATGTGTTATTTAAGGATAAGTTAGGAAATTATATATAATTCACATATGTATGTATCATGTTAACATAGATGAAGCAAATACATGGTGATAACATTAGGAATTTTGTATAACGTCTAAATAAATAAAACTAACGTAGGTTTTCGGTAAAATTAGCATGATCTTTGCGAATCTAGAAAGGTAATCTAGGACATGATAAAATATGCAGAAAGATCACAAAACAGAAAAAAATAGTTTGAAATTTAAACAGCAAGAAACGTAACAACATGGCTGTTAAATATTATTAAATTATTTAGTGATGGTATATTTACCCATCATCAAAATGAAAATTGTTAACATCATATTGTGGTGACATTGCGTTGGAAAACAAGAGGATTCTTAACTTATATTCATGACATGCATACAGTAGAAAATTGTTCTATGTGAGATAGGTTTGATTTGTATATTAATATGTGTGTCAAATGTCAATAGGAAAATATATAAAGTTCGTTTTGATTTTGCATTGGCCAGACTGTGAGGAAGGATTCTTCGGGTCGTCCTGTGATAACTGCTTTGTCGGTTGTCCCAATCGTGTTTGTGACAAAATATCCGGAAATTGTAGTCGTACGTATTACAAAAAAGAGCACCTGATCTACTAACTGATGGCTTATATTTCATTATATCTCATAACCTATTTTCCTTAGTTTAAATGTGTGATCCAATTGTCAATGAAATCATATTGTGATTATGGTCGTTTATTTCCGTATACATCATTACTTTATATTGCAATACAGAAAAAAACATTCAGCTGTTTAAGAGAGTATATATGATATATATCACTGTCGCTGTAACCAGATTATTGTTAATGTTTAATTAAAGCATGAATAGATATAATTGCTTTTTCTTTTATAAAAATACCAGTTATTAACTACAGTCAATCAAAGCTTATTTAGACACGCTTCTTCTATATGTACACTGCATATATGTGCATTATGCTCTAAAACTATATGGATGTTTGAGATAACTATGCCTATGACATATACAGACTATGGAAACGGCTAACCTGCATAGGTAGAGAGAAAAAGTGACATGATTTATCCAAATGCATGTCATAAGATACGTCTTATGTGGAGCCCTTTCCATGATCCAATGCTGCTTTGAGCGCAATTCATAGATATTTAAAGGTTTACAAACGTAATATTTACATACAAATTAAACAGATGAATGGTTATAATTATTTCCTATCTTTCATATAAGTTTGCATTCAATACTAGTGTTTTACTTCCATACACTATTACAAAGTTCTAGGACAATAACTTCAATAAGATTAATCAGTTTAGAATATATGTGATATCAAAGTTTGATTTCGTCGAGTGACATACAAACTATACGATTTCCACTACATCGTTGTACAGGTAAACAATATAACTATCCCGCTAAGTGATAGCTTTACAAAGAGTTTAGTCGGTCTTGAAACGTTGCGACACGTTTAATACGTGCATTGTTTGTGTAAAAGTATTTGGTATCATATAGGACGATTATAGAAGATGTAAAAATAGCAAGAAAGTATATGTTGCCATAATCCGCTTTGCTTCCCATTACGCTGGCCGTATCCGCTCTGCATCCCTTTACACACCTGATTTTCCCTACCCCTGCCTCCCCACACCAAAACACGTTGATTCACTCAAGCTTAGGTAAAATCTTAACAATATTTTCGTAATCAATATTTCGCACATGGACACGATTGAAATAAAAAACCGAAGCTTAGCTTCACATTTGTATGTACTTTCAGCTTGCCTCAACGGCTTCTATGGGGTGAAGTGTGATCGGTTATGTTTCTCAAATTGTGAAAACAACACATGCACACAAAATGAAGGGAAATGTACAGGTATGGTGACTTTGTTATTGAAAGTTTAGCAGAGAAAAAAATGTTTGATGTATATGTAAGACATTTCTACAATCGGATCAGATGTATTTAGATTTTTGTTTTGTATGCTCAAAGTAATGAATTTGAATTTTTGATACACATTTAATATGCTTGACTTGATTTCTAAATGTCCTTGAAGATAGATACGATACAATTGTATTTTTATATGAAGAGAAACTTTTGTAAAATCGTATTTATGTTATATTCAAGCCTGCGATTTTTTTTGTTTTGTAAAGTAAAGTGAACGATGTATGTATTAAGTCTCAAATGACTGTTGATGCTCTGGTTTATTTAAGCGTGCAAACCTGGATATTATGGTGATTTCTGCAACACAAGCTGCCCGTCCAATTGTAAAGGGGATACTTGTAATCAGACGAGTGGGTTATGTACAGGTAAGGTGATATGTGAAAATATTGACGAAGTTACAGAAGTACAATCATATAGTTATAATGGTGGGGTCAACGTCAATAGAGATTTAACATTAGCATCGGTCCCCGCTTGGAATTTCAAAACTAGATAAATGCATTAAGTTATGGATATATGAAGCTTAACTCAGGAACAGTTACATAGTTTCAGAATTAATTTTATGAAAAACGTGACCTCATTGACTTAAACATGTGTGGGTGTTCAATGTACGTTAAGACAAGTCCTCCTGGAGCACTATACAATTAAATCATCATCGTGTGCAACATATTCAAACTGTTATTTTGATACCGAATATTTCACTATGGCAAGAACGAAATATTCTATCTATTGAAGTTTAAGCAGAAAAGTATTTGAATTTTTTATACGAATTAAAAACAAATCCATTTGAACACGTTAATGTACAAAGTTCTAAAACGAGTCTGTGTTTCATACTTGCTTAAAAGTTGGATACCAATAATATCTTTCAACATCAGGAATCCAAAAAGTTGATTACCGGTAAATTTGTCATATAGCACGTGTGATTTAAAAAAATAAATAAATAACAACATAACTTTCTTTCCTCTTTTCCTTTTACTTGTTTTTTCTACATAACCAAAGGTCTTTGGGTCTGGACATTTGACAAGTAGGTTGTCCATGTGAATAGAATTAAGTTTTGTAAACGTTGATGAATTTGTCTTTCGTTCAATGTCACACAAATTAAATGTGTTGAGATGAACTTGTTGTATGGGGAGTCAGACAAGAATATCTTTCCTTGATTTATTTCTTTAAAGTTGACGATATCAAATATTGTAATATTCCTTCAAATGCTGTTAAATGAATGGGTTATACGCAAAACAAAACAATAACTTGAAATGTAACAAATATCCCTGCTCTTAAATAAAATAGAACTGTAATCTAAAGATTAAATAAGGCGTTTGATTCGATATACTTTAGTTTATATCACCATTGATATGGAATTCTTATTTTCTTTTTACATTCGTTCTGGTTTTAGAATGATATCACTTCGGAGGTATTTGTTGCTGATATACATTATCAACTTAATGATGTCATGTTATGATTACATTCTTTTATTATAAATTAATCAGATTCGGTTCAAAATATATACATTTTGAAATATACATGTTTCGAGCACCATTGAGTGCGATCACATTATCAGTGACAATTAAAGACCTAAAACGTAGATAAGGAAATAATAGCTTCTTACATTTGTTTTCGGCTTTTGACTTGCTCTTTGTGATTTTCCATTAAAGCGTGTACTCCCGGGTATTATGGAAGCAATTGCAATCAAAATTGCTTGTTCAACTGTAAAGACAACCTATGTATGCAATTCAATGGAGTGTGTAAAGGTATGTATCAGTGGAAAGTTTGAAAAACATGTATACAAATGTCTTACTTGTATTGAAGGATTAGTTCAGAAATTATTTATTTTTCATTTATTGTATTTGTCATATTAACATAGACAATACATATCAATTTTGCATAACAATAACTTCACGTTACTGTTAAAGATCCCATTTTGATTTGTTTATAACGTTTACTAAATTTAAAAGGGTGTTCAAATTATATTAATGGTGTATAATTTGCAGCCATATTATAACGTAGGGAAACATGTATATAGGTGAAACCTGCAGAGCTATTGGCTTTTTCCGTTTTCGGTAAAATTGACATGATCTTTGCGAATCAAGATAGGTAATCTATAACACGATAAAATATGTAGATGGACACACAGCAGAAAAACGGTATGACATTTGAACACGTTCCGGTAGTAGTACGGAAAACAACTTAACAACATGATCGTTAAATATCAGGTTCGATTATAATTTGATGATGGTATATATTCCCGATCATTCAAATGAAAATTAAATAACATCAAATTGAGGTCGCATTAGGTTAAAAAAACAAAAGGATACCTAATATGTATATGTTCATTTTCATTTCGCAATGACCAGACTGTGAGGATGGATTCTTCGGATCGTCCTGTGATGTCTGCTCTGTTGGTTGTATCAAGCATGTCTGTGACAAAGTATCCGGAAGTTGTAGTCGTAAGTATTTAAAAAAGAACACCTGATCTACGCACTGATGACTAATATTTCAATATATCTCAAAATCTATTTTCCTGAGTTAAAACAGATGCGCCAGTTGACAATTAAATCAAATTTTCAGTATATGGTTGTGTATATTCGTATTTGTCACTAGTTTAAATTGCAATGAAGAAAAGCATTCAAATGATTGAGAATATAAAAGATATATAGCAATATACGTATAGCCATTAAAGCTTATTTAGAC